AGATTAATTGCTGGAAATAATCATACGACGAAAACTACCCCATACCAGGGTGCAGCAAATGCGCACCAGAAATGAACCGTTTTGTCTCCCGCCTGCAAGGTTTCTCCGGAATTTGTTGTCGTTCCGATCGTTTTACAGCGAGCGCGCACCCTGCCAAGAAACAAGAGCACGTCCAAAACAAAACTTTCTCTTTCCCTTTGAGTGATTTACTGCCGAAGATCCTTGCCAGACTGAGAGGGAAAAACGTATGGGACAATCACAGATAGTGAAGCAAATCGACGGATTGCTCGGTTGGGTCGCATAAACGCACACAATCTTTCTCCCTTCGTTCGAGAGTGTGATGTTTTCTTCGGAACATGAAATGTCGCTCTTGCTGTGAGGACATTAATCACTTGTAATATCAGCTGTGTGAATCTGGCCGGAATCGGCCATGTGATTTTTCCCCGCTCGATGGCTGACGGATTCCCGAAAGTCCTTCAACTGCGATCCAGATTTTTATATTAGCTCTATTCACATATTTTCGAAGCATCATCGTTCGACAGCCAACATCACACAAAAATCCAATCAATCATCATCCATATTCCCCATCAAAAGCGAAACCCGTCTTCGCATCGCATCCATTCTACACTTGATCACGATCACCTTCCACACCGGTCTCTATTCCATCCATCCTTCCATCCATCCATCCATCCACCCTGTCTGAATCAACAAGAGAACAAATCGTAGAACCATGACTAAGTAAAAATAAAACCAAAATCAATATTCATTGCTCTTAAAAATAATAATACAAACACATCATAAATATAAATTTCATTATTCCTGCCCGCCTTTCATCCATCTGAACCCCGCAAAATCCAACTAGCCCAAAGTCCGGTAATGCTCTCGCTCCAGTCCAGCCCAGGACGACGTGTCTTCCGTTCGTTCCCGTCCGTAATCACCTTCGCTCGCAGCTGCTGGCTCTCTGCTCTCCTCCTCGCTGGCTGGCTGGGCACCCCAAATGTGAGGGAGTCCAACACACAGCTGACTCGACGTGACGATTTGCCATGCTCTGCTTTGTGCTCTAGGTTGTGTTCTACACGGAGCCGGGAGAGCCGAGAGCTGGCACAATGTTTAGCACTCAATAACGCTGTCAGTCAGTCCATCGAAATCCATCAATCAATCAACCTATCAATCAACTCAAATTGAAAAGCATCGCACCTTTTTTGCACTTTACTGCTGCTGCCAGCCAGCTAGCTGGCTGTCTCTCGGCTTTCACCCTATGCAGTCGATACCGGGGCGATGCATGAGAGTTGGTTCGGTTAATTTGTGCCTTTTTGGTTGATTTTTGTGGCGGCGGGAAACGATTTGAACGTGTACCGTAGATCGGAGTGGAATGGGTTATTGTGACTTGGGTGTTTAGGTTTTCTGAGTTCAGTTTACTACGTTTACAGCTTGAAATTAGCAATCACAAGATTCCTCCTACATTATTTATTGGTGCACTTAATTAGCTTGTAAGCGGTGCGCTTGTCAAAATCGTTGAAAAATCCATATCTAAGCATGGAAAACAAAACACAGAATCAAACAAATATACACATTCTTGGTTGCTGGCGGATTTCTAAACGAATGAAAATCATTCAAAGGAACTGAATCTGTACCGTTTGAAAAATTCATTTAAAGGTCGGCGATAAATAGAGAACCGTTAGTTATCGCTAAATTGGTTGTATATTAAACATGATAATTCAAGTAAATTTAAGCACAATGAAAATAAAATTCAATTCATACGCTCGTTATTTTGGGAAACGAAATAGATAACAACTTTATTTTTTTTTAACATCACACTCGGGTCAGATTTCATTTTGGTTTTGGGAACGAATGATTCGTAAAATAAAAACCCAAATTGAATAGAACTTTTGTTACCCAGTATAAACTCGTTTTTGTTATTATCCATAGATATACGAGGCCTTAGATGATATCTTTATTTTTACTGGTCTCAGTTTCTGCACTGCTCAATTGAACAGCAATTATTATTCAATAATCAATTGATTTATGTCCTCACGTTAATTTTCTAACATGACAATAATTTTAAGATATAATTGTGGCTTATCTATGAGGAGCTGATATGAGTTTTACGTAGTGCAAAGTATATACAAATCACTTTCTTCTTCTTGGCTTACAACTGGAGCTTTATTACTTTATACTTAATCTGCTTTATTATGCTCTACATACTTTAAGCACAATCTTATTATATACAATATATACCAATAAAGTTAAATAATCAATCAGCCTGATTCTCTTAATCGATATTCTCTTTCGCGAACAACCCGAGTGCTATTGAATTTCCCATTCAGTGTGTTGATTCAGGCGCAAGCTAACTATAGTCACTATATTTATAGTCTGGCGGATAGAATTTCAATCAATCAAAAAGCGGAACAAATTCAATATATTCTAGACCAACAATGGTACTATCAAGTTTTATAAACAAAACTTGATTATTCTTTCCTCGCCAATCGAACGCAAATTATCGGCTTCATCGGATAGAGGAAATTTTCCCCAAAGATGGTGTTAGTTTGCGTAGGCGAGCCTTAAGTCACGAGAAAACGGGTTCCGAAACTTTTGTTCGCAATAGCTGATGTGATCTTTTCTGTTGTTGGTCGTGATTTGACAGCCCAATTGGTCAAACAGATATTTGATAGCTCAATTGGTTCGCGAGATTCTATCCGGCATGCTATGAATATAGCGACTATAAAGCTAACATCATCTTCTGTGGAACTGTCTTGTGAGCTTAGCGAGAAATTCATTTATGTTGCCGTGGTTAATCAAAGAGAAAGTCGATGAAAAGAATCGATCAACGAGGATAGGTCCTTTTCAAATGTTACGCGAGTTAAATTCGAACAATTGTGGCATCACTGCCTACGGCACCCCCAATAGACGAGTGCAAGGTGGGTATATAAATGGTGATACAGCTTTGTCACTATATAGGTGAGGAGGTCGCGGGGGGAAAAGTGCGGTTTTAAAGCAAATTGTAAACAAACTCGGTCGCTGTCCCATACAAAAATCCAACATGGCTGAATCATGAATTTGACACATTAGAACACCTATATGTAGTCACCTTGGATGAGTGCACGGATGGATTTGAGTTCACTCACTCGATAAAAAGTGACACAACAGAGGGGCCCTGTTTTCTTAAAATGAACACATGAATAATACTCGCGTAACATTTGAGACGGACCTATCAACTTTTTTACACAAAACTTGCTAAGCCCTTTTCGCGTGAACCGAATACGTCTACGCAAACATACAACACCATCGGGTAGGGTGTACATCAGTTCTTGTGAAAAGGGCCTACACTAATAAAAATTCAATGCGAATTTTTATGTGTCCCACACATGAATTTTTGCAATGTGATAAACAAATGATGTATATCTATATATATCGGACAGATAGTTCTTATGTGTACACATCAAATTCATGTGTAACCACACATACTATTCATTTAACTCATAAATATCATGTGTACTTCTGGGTGGATTCTGTTTATGTGTGGACACATGAAAATCATGTGATATTTTACATGGAAAATTACCAATAAAAATGTGTCGATATTTAACAGTGTGGCAAATTGTTTACAAAAGTTGATAGCTCCTGTTCAAATGTTACGCGAGCATTATTCCGGTATTCATTTACAGTAAACAGGGCCACGCTGTTATGTCAATTTTTTTCAGCATTTTTTTTTTAACATAAGTTTACCCGTGAACTCGGCAGGAGCTGATCGGTGAGAGATTCACGATAGTTCTAATAGCGATTTTTAAAAATGAGGGTGATAGGGGAATTTACGTATTCTCGTCAATCTAAGCAGCGTCTGCACTTCTACTAGCATTTTCTCAGCGTCACGCACATATATGATGTGTCTGTTTGTTTACATTCATCTGCTGCTTGCTTCTCTATCCATTCCAATCGACAGAATTTTTCAAAACGTTTTGAAAGCGTTTTTACAACGCTCCAAACTTCTCAGGTGAGTGTGACTATTGTCGGCAGTCTCTTTTTCTTCGGCAACCTTCCCATTAGAACTGCGTGTTAACCAGCTGTTCTATTATCGGCAACTCGAAATCAACCTCATTTTGTAGTGCGTACACACCAAATTTTTATCGCTGGAAATCAGCAATTTTTTGCTGAATTTTGCCGAGCTGAAATTTCAGTAATCATTTCAGCAATATAAAATTACTGAAATTTTCAGCAATGTGAAATGTCATTCTGCTTGACAGAGGTTTACTGAATTTTCAGCATATTTAATAGATTTGCTGAAAATCCAGTTATCCGGCAATCGCATAATTTGACAGCACTTTGCTGAAATAATTCAGCAATATTTATCATTGTACTGAAAAATCAGCTTTTTAGTTTTAATCATACTGGTTCATTCAAAACAACATTAATTTCGGTTTATTTGAATCATTTTCATTTATTTAAACAAATTAAATTTAGTTTCATACCGTATAATCATTTCAGCATTTTGTTAGTTGAGCTGAAAGATAAAGTTGTTAACAGTTGTCGTCATATTATCCACGGTCAAAACGGCTCCAACGAAAAAATTGTAAAAATTTGCAAGAGACGGTTCAAACTTGAATTTGAAAATGAAGTATGTTTGAACCAAAAGCAAAAATGCTCGGCGAATATCACAACCTGCCGAAAACACACGTTTGTTCAAACGAATGTATGTTGCTCCTTCCTCATACTGTGGTGCCTTGACGATTAATATCGGTAGCTTGGTCTTAGTATAGCCAGAAGCGAATTGCTCGACGTCGTCTTCGGGCTGAAAAAGGTCATTAGTATTATTTGCAAATTAGGATAAGTTTTCAAATTAGTGATTACTCATACATTGATCCATTCGATGATATGATCCAAGTGATTTGTGATCTTTTGTGGTCCTTGAATTGCGCGCTTAGCCCCACGAGTTGGATTTTTGTCCTTTACGATAACAAGTGTTCGAATAAATTCTGTAATTCACAAATACATAATCAAAAATGTATCCATTTTCACAGCTAATTTACTCACGGGATTTGATATATGAATGCAAGCTGTGGTGTTTTGCCAGTATTTTTGGCTGCAAAATTTCCCAGGTTTCATTGAAGTCGCCAGCATTAGGAAACATCACTTCGAAATCCACTGAGATCTATAACCGAAAAATTTGTAAGTAATTAGAATGAAACGGCTAGTTTTAACTATTATACTAAAGATCCGCTGAACTCAATCATTAGAGGGAAAGCTTCAAGCAGTTCGTCAACCAGTTTTGCATCATCACCATTATCTCTGATGATCTTCCTGGCGCCAAACGTTTGTCCCCAATCGTTTTTAATTACTTCCAGAGATGCGTCAGTTGGGACAATGTACTTCAGCCTTTCAATCTGGAATATGAATAGTCCTATTATTTTGAATAATTTAATTAATAGTGTTATATTATTTACCATTGCAGAATCGTTTTGGATTTCACTAGCCTGTAGCATGTTGTTATCATCAACATCAATAGTATCCACGTTGCCAAGACGCCTTGGTTGATGAACTTGTTGCTTGTATTTTTTTACCATGTACTCAATGTGGTAGTGAATCTTTCCACTGTGTTTTCCCTGCCCTCTTCCATGAGGATAAAACCATAAGGCGTGAGGGATTGCTGTACTGCTGGACTTCAACACGTTGTACTTGCTGACCAAGGATCTGGCAATAATATCCTTGTAGTGCATATTAGGATGACTAAAAATAATAAAAGTTAGTACTAATGACTACTAAAACAAAAAAAAAAGTTATGGACAGTAAAAAGAAAATGCTTGGAAAACAGGCAACCATTATTGCCATTTTCCATTTGGTTGAAAATGAACATAAATTAATCAAAGTAACCATGTACGTCGAGGTATTGATAGAGTGACAGTTTGAGAACAAACAAAATTTCACCCTCTCAAAGGCCTTCCAAAGCAGCAGCGAAGATTGCGTTTCTAGTTTTGAAGTAATGGACTCTCAACTGAAGCCATTCTCTGAAGAAAAAAATATCTAACAATCTAATTTTATTATTCTCCGAAGATCAATGCTTAATAGTGATTTTTTTTTACAGTTTAAGACCCATGCAAAAGTAACGGAAGCAGACAATTTTAAACGTCAGTAAAGATTATGTGGAAATTGGACCAGCCGATGTCCTATGTATATAATGGCAGATTGGCTAATATATTTATGCATTTGGAAGCAGAAGAACTACAAATCGATTTAGCACAAATACTCAAAATCAGCCGGTTTTACCAAGACGAAAATGTTGCTCGGTATGATGCTGAAGTACTTCCTCTTAGTCATGGTTTGTGTTATTAGTTCATAACGATTAATTATTCGCATATTTATTCAAACAACCTTTAACCTTGGTTTATTATAACTGTTTAGTTATTTATTTTTTTTCTAAATCCTACGTTTAAAAAAATAAAGTATAGATGGTTTTTTCAAATCAAATTTAAAAGATATAAACTCCAATCAAATAACAGTAAGGATCCTATTGCCGTATCACATAATTTTGTACTTTTTTACTTTCCACAAATTTGATAATTAACCTGGTTATATCACGTGCAAAACTTGCCTATTCGGCATGCATATGAAACTTACTGAATAGGGTTTTCCGTTTTAAAGTGTAGTTGGTTGGACCCACACTGTACTAGAAAACTTCAATAAGCATGTTCTGAATGCAACAATACTAATCAACAATATACTTGCTTGCTAACACCAACCAAGCGCCAATCTCAGTGGTCTAACTGTACTTCGCGCTAATAGCATAGTTCTTCTGGCCGAAGAGTACAGCCACAAATGATGATTTGGTTAGCAAAGATTAAATATTTGGTGGATACCAGCAAGTATCGAAATGAATTAGCTTGTTACATTGAGAACTGAAAGTAAAAAAGGAATTGAACGATATGTTTTTAAATATGTAGAATTTATGTTTCTGAAAAAATATGGCGGATAAGTTGTTTTGATGCAGGATAAAAATAGGCCATGTTACAAGCGTGGATGAAAAAAAACAAATAGTTCACACTGTTTTAGCTTGTACAGAAAGTGCAGCATATGATTAATCAAAATTTCAGAAAAATATTAAATTTTGGACCATAAAAACAGCAGTTGACTGCGACTTTGACTGCTGATCAACTGTAATATCCATAATACACAGACATCATTTTGATGAATGTCATCTGTATAATTTAGAAATTAAATTTCCTTTAAATTTTGCATACTTGCATATCATTGAATAAGTGAATGTTTAGTATAATTAGAGGATGAATACAAACATTTTACTTACTATCCGAATCTCCTCACTAAGTAATCACTTAGAACGGTTGTGATGGACTTTATTAGCTTGCTGTTAACTGAATTTTCTTGTCTGAGCAACTCCATTATACGCAAACCCTCAGCAGACTGTCTGAAAACCAAATCAATGTCGAACTCCTAAGAAAAATATTTAAAAGCATATTTATTCATAAACAAGCTTAGTGTATGAATAATGTGTTGTTACCTTCTCCAGCGAAATAGAATGACCAGCTTCATACTCCGTTGAATCATCCTCTTCAATTAAGTCATCTTCTTCTTGTTCTTCTGGGTTTTCTTTCACAGGAACAGCATTGTATTTCTCGAGCAATTGATGTTGATATTTTTGAATTTTTTTTCGTTGGCCGGTGTTGAGCTGCAGCCGACAGAAATCTTCATTGTCCAACGCGATGAAAGTTTCAATATCCACGATTCCTTCATGAACTAAATATACAAAATTGATGTCAATTGACCGTTTGTTTGTAGGTACGTATTTGTATCATGCTAAAGGATACATGGCTTATTATTCAATAGTCGTTATTATATATCCTTCGGGAAATGTATCGCGTTTCTTGATTGTACTTCTTCCAAAATGAAAATGTTGTATAACAATTCACTGATTCCAGGTCGGCCAAGAGAGATTCTTCTGTAAGTTGAACTTCATATGCCTGCAGCATATTGTCAAATCCAACTACTTCCCAGATTCGAATATAGAATTGGGGAGCATTGTCGATTACTAGTATTTCCTGGATAACCCCAAATGTAGGGAATTCCGAGAACTCATCTTTTATTGATATGATGCAATTAGGACGGAAGTGAATACCATTGTAGTTGAGCCCTTTACATGTAAAATATCGATCCATGTATTTTTGTAGAAGCAAATTTGCACACTTGAGATCATTCATGAGACTCATCTTTCCAGATTTATACTCCAAACGGTTCTGGAACGGACATTCCGCAATATCAACGGCTTGTGCAAACACTTGCCGCTTAGCTAAGCTCAAGCAAACATTTTTAAAGTTGCAGGCGGTATTCATTTGACTTTTTATGTTTTTGTTCTTTCCTTCGAATACTCGACAGTCGAATTGCACGAGTGGTCCAATTTTTCTTATGCATTCAGGATAATGATGTAGGTGATGGAATTTGTTTGGGCGCCGGCTGAATAACTGAAAGAATGTGTTATGGAACACTTGTATATCCATCTCTAATTCTGCCAACAGGAAATCCGGGATGGTTGGTGAAAATGCTATTCGCGTAATATTGATCAGGGTGCTAATCAAACCCATATATTGGCAGTTTTCAGGCGTTTTATGTCCAAATAGGAAAGGAAACACCCTCAGCAATAACAAATGTTGTGATGCCGTTTGCCTCATTCTATGGGTGTTCGGTTGAAGTAGCATTTGTGCAGTTATGTTTGAAGATGGCTTATTTTTTCGATCTCGATATCCATAACAGAATGTTTTGATACGATGATTGATGTAGTCGATATTGAACCCAAGTTTCTTGTTGCGGTAGTAACATGACAAGACAAGCTGAACTGTGACTGGAATCACCCCCTCAGCCAAGTCGTGCATCACATCAAAAGCATGGTTTTCCGTTACGTGAAATGTCGTTAGTTCGTTTAAAATACATCCCGTTACTTTTAATCCACAATCCGTTGCAGTTATTTCCTTCTTCCTCAGTTTGTCCAGATTCAGATTGTACCAATGTTTGTCCTTGAGAGGAAAACTGTGCTCAAACGGATTATTTTTAAAGTGATTTCGAGTGATCGTGCATTCTCGGCAGAATAGACTGGCAGATGGTCCTAATAACCCAAATAGATCGTGGACTGCTAGTGTGTCCCCAGCCAATGCAATTACAACTGCTTTAATGATGTACTTCTCAGATCCAAAGAACACTGGAACTCCTTTTTCCAATCGCTTCAGATCATCTACGAGTGGAGCCAAGATCCTACTGTAGCCATGTCGCTTGGCATCGGTCGATTTCGCGTAGATCAAGGGGAACACGGCTTTTTTCGATGAATTGAATTGGGTTGGTATGTTCTGAATCTTAAAGTACATTGCAGCAATCTTGTTGTTTCCAGCTCTGGAACTCAGTGTGTTGCACGGTTCAGCATCGTCATCGTACAAAATTATTCTCAGTGCGTCAGGATTCTCCTGGAAATAGAGGCTGTTCTCGAAGCACTGCCCACTTGTATACGAATAGTATACTTTAGGATTTAATTTATCTGCCACTTCTGCTATACATCCATTAGACGATAACATAAGCCGGTTTTGCTCGTCCTGCAAGAACATCTTCAGTGACTCAATGATGGGCACGTACTGGAAAGTTTCACTGACCTGACGAAAACATTATTTACATAATTTAATACAAATATAAAACGTAAATTTCAAAATGTCTACCTTGATATTCTGCTCCTGTGCGTTTTTGAAATGTTTTGCTTCCTGAGAACGCAACATGATTGATCTTGGCTCTGGAATTGAGCCAACTGCTTTCTTTAAAAACTGCTCTTGTCGCTTACAGCTTTTAACTTCTTCAAAAAGATTAACAACAGAAACGTCATTTTTGAGTTTTACGATGTCCTCAGAGGGGAATTGCGTTTTTAAAGATCTTATAAATGAATCTATCCGCTGCGACACAAGCATGTTAATTTGCTCAACAATGCTTTCGCAGAAGTCCACAGCTTTCACAATCTTGGCCTGTGTGAATGAGACATCTGCTCGAAGCTTGCACACAGCAACCGATGCAAACTTTCGAAGAGATTCGATCGAAGTGTCACCTAGTTCCTCATCAACCAGGTTTGCGCTTTCAGCGCCCATAATGGGTGCGATGTTCTCCTCAGTGCAACTGGAATTGTCTGGCTGTAAATGATCGAACTGTTGGTGGTATTGCTTATGCTGCTGCTGGTGGTGGAAATCTGGTGCCGTTATCGGATGCTTTTTGATTATATGCTGCTTCAGACTACTGAACTTCCGGTAGCTCATCCTGCAACCTTTTTTAGTGCATGTGAAGTGCACAAGCTCCTTATTAAAATCATGTTTATTCTCGTGCACTTTTAGGTGTCGTCGAAGTCCATCAGTATATCCCTCAACCAACTGATGGCAGTAGAAACACTTCAAAATGTCTGCCATTGCTCTCGAGGCTGAAGAAAACACAAGATTATATTTAACCATTTTACTTACCAAACAATTCCTCCACATCACAACGGTCAGCTTTCAGATTCAGCAGAGCTTCCTGAACTTCCGGATCCATGACGCACTTAGTTTGTTGCAGAATAATTAAAAAACCAAAAATTTTTTTTTTCTTATTTTGACAGAGTGACAGACGATGAAATATGCTGAATTTTCAGCAATCTAGTAAAGTTGCTGGTTTTCAGTAAAAACGAACCAAATTGCTGATTTTCAGTAAAATCGTAGATTGCTGATTGCTTTTCAGTAAACCATTTTGCTGAAATCTTTGATCAACTTTTGGTGTGTATAGAGCTTCTCGACGTCTAATCGGCGCACACTACTGTACAATTTAAATCCAACGAGTGCGAGCAAGAGGGAAACACATTGGTGGGAAAATACACCGTCGATTCATACATGTGTGATAAATAGAGAAAGACGATTAAGCATCGAAAGGTCTATTGGAATACGTAGGGTACGATGGTTCTCAACGCACCCCTGGCGTGAAATGGCCCTGCGCTGTTTTTCATAGCTTTCCGATTGTCAATTCGTGAATTTAAAAATCAGTATTGCTAGTTCAGTGCTTGAACTAACATTCTGGCACATTATATTTCCAGAATTAGTAATGGATAAGCATCGAAAAACTGCACGGGGCCATTTTACCCCAGGGGTGCATTATGGACTATTCTCCCCTAAATTCCACGATTTTGCGTACGATTTCTTCTTCTCATCATAACGCCCAAAATAAACATAAAGCCTTTTTCAAACTTTAAAAAAAACGGGTTAACCGACATGCACGTATCAACCATATTGATCAAATAAGCCATCTCGAAAAAATCTTGCCTAGATTAAATTGGGAATCGATTGGGCTTTATAGATTGGGAATGTTTTATACAGGTGAGATAGCTTGTGTGGATGGCTATCGGGCGCAGACGGCAGGACGTGTGAAAATCGATTCTAATACCTATGTTACGCTAGTAACAAAGGTAATAAGGCGGAATCTCGAACACCAAACGTCAGATCGGTATGAAATTTTGTCTGCAGGTAGATATGGATAAGGTCTCCATCCGGGATGTCGCTGGCAAGCTCATTGTCTCCCATACTACTGTGCAGCGGGCCAAGAAACGAGCTGGGTTGTTGACGTTTAAGCAGGTGAAAGTGGCGAACCGAGATTACAAACAAAACACGTCGGCAAAGCAGCGGCCCTGTAAGCTGTATACGAATCTGCTCCTAAAGTTCGACTGTGTCGTCATGGACGACGAAACTTATGTCAAGGCGGATTTCAAGCAGCTTCCGGGACAGGAGTTTAATACCGCATCAGGAAAAGGGAAGGTGGCTGAAATTTTCAAAACCATCAAACTATCGAAGCTCCCGAAGAAAATATCTCGTCTGGCAGGTCATATGGACGTGTGGTCTAAAAAGCGGCATTTTCATTACTACGGGAACCATCAATCAAAACATCTACGTCCAGGAGTACCTGGAAAAGCGGCTGCTACCATTCCTAAAGCAACATAATAGACCTGTCCTGTTCTGGCCGGACTTGGCGAGCTGCCACTATGCGAAAAAGGCAATCGAGTGGTACGATGCGAACAACGTGGTTGTGGTACCCAAAGACCACAACCCTCCCAACAGCCCAGAACTCCACCCTATCGAATGGTATTGGGCCTTGGTCAAATGGAATCTAAAAGAAAAACTAATAAATCCATGGAAAACGAGCAGCACTTTAAATCTAACTGGCGTTCGGCGGTGAATAAGGTCGATGAGACCACTGTGCAAAATTTAATGGAAGGGGTTAAGCGGAAGGCACGAATATGAATATGAATATGAATATAATTCAATATGAATTGAACTACCAAAAGAAAAATAAGAAGATTTTTGTGATATGAATTTTGACTGAAAGAAACGATTTTTTTGTCGACCAATTTTTGCGCATTCCAGTCTTTATGTCTTTATGAACTAAGAGCCATAAAAATACTAAATATATCTGGAATTGATAATACGCCTCCAGAAACGATCAAATCATACTCGTAATAGGTACATGTTGTCCAAAAGAAGAGCGGTGTAAGTCCTGATGTAATAGAAACGATGAGCGTAGAAATCTGATTGGCACACGAAAGCTCAGGCAAGAAAGTAAGTGGGTGAAATCAATTTCACCACTTAATTGCTTCGCAATAAATGTTGCCTGTTGAATTTGTTGCCGTCTTTTTAAAGTATCCATGCATAGCAAGCGACAATGCTTTTTTAATACGTTCTACTTGAATGCTCCAGGAAAGTTGGCAAGGAATCCAAACAACAGATTCAGTCTCAAGAATCGGGCGCACAAGTGAACAGTACAGTGCCTTTAAACAGTATGGATCCGAAAGATCGCTTGACCCAACAAACATTGAATGTTGAATAAGAGCTTATGCAGGCAAGAATAAGCTTCTTCAGCTAAAAAATTGCTTATTCAGCTGTTGATCAACTCAAATTGTTTGTTGGGGAGATTCTTGATATGACCATAAGCGAACGATTTGCCTTAGTGACTACCATTGAACGATCCCAAGTAACCAAAAGTTCTGATAACAGGCTATTGGTGGCTTAAGCAGCTTGGTTGATGGTCTATAGAATTCTAAGCAGCCTCATTTATCGTTATAAGAACTTGAATTTTTCCTGTACCATAATTGAAGAGCATTCCAAGCAGCTTCTGGCAGAATTTGAACGGAGCTTTAAGAAAGGGGTTTTGTCCTCTACACAAATTTTATATTTATGTTCGCACTTTTATGAAAGTCAACTCTAAAGTCAAGTCTTTATGAATGTTATTTTTCAAGGCAGGCAGGTATGAAGTGTGTATTGATTCATCAGCATTAGTAGTAGTATTGGAGCTGTTGGAAGAATTAAACCCAGTCCTTCTGCGTGAGAGCCCTAGTACGAACAACTACGTCATCTGAGATATATAAAAGTGAGCTGTTGTACCATAGAGGTAACTCTAAGACTAGAAGGTCCCGAAATAATGTGTTCAACTTTTAGGCTCAGCTCTGGTACTCTCTTCGGTACCAAGCTAATCGATTCACCCCTCGAAACATAGGAAAATCCACTAACCCCTCATTTTATCTGTCAAATTTTCATAGCGAATCAAAACAAACAAAGTGTAGTACTGGAATTTCGACTAGAATGGGGTACGTTAACCGATTTGCTTGGGACCAATAGGCTAGTCAAGTAGTGAGCCAATTTAAAATCGTTAGTTTCTTATTAATTGTTGCACAAGATGTTGTGTTTCGCATTCAAGTCAGTCAACTGGCAGTGAAAACTCCAACAGTAGGCGGTACTGCGGAATGCGAAACACAACATCTTGGTGAATTTTAAATTGGTGTTTGCCTGCATGGTATTCCAACACACTTGTGGTGCTGTGGTTAGTGTTCTTTGATCGAATGCCGAATATACGGGTTTGAATGCAGGAAAGTAATCTATATACTTTTTATGCTTGGATGGAATATTGCAGTGCATCAAGAATTATGATTTAGGAGCCACCGACCATTTTATATTTACGCACATTCATTTTGGTTCCTAAAAAAAAACTTATTCCGATTGCTTAATTTGAGCTATGACTTTTTTAGAAACATTCAAGTTGTTCAGAAGTTCTGCAGGGAACTTTAAAGGTACTTTAAAGTTGCTACGAAGTTCCGCTAGGAACTTGCTCGGAACTTTGTTGTGGCCATGTTTTCAGCCTTGCCTGAAGTTCCTAAGAAGTGCTTAGGGATGCTTTTTTGAACTTTTTTTTTTGAACTTCAAGAGCCTTAAGTTTCTTGTGTGCTTTCTATAGCTTCTAAAGTAGCCAAAAAGTTGTGTTAGAACTTTATATGCACCATATGGAACTTGAAAATGGGTTTCATCGTTGAATGCGGAACTTTTGGTTGCTTGGTAAGAAAATACTGTCCGAGCTTCATTTGAAAATTATGGAACTTGAAAGATCTGTCGGAACTTTATTTGAACTTTATGGAACTTGAAAGTTCTGTCAGAACTTTATCCGAATTTCATGGAACTTGATGGTTCTGTCGGAACTTTTTTTGAACTTTATGGAACTTTATCGTTGAATGCAGAACTTTTGGTTACTTGGGATGTAAGTCAAATGTAAGCTTAGAGCTCAACATCACACCTTGGTCGCTTACTTGTTCTTCTCTATCGAGTATAAATCCATCAATTGAGTAATCTAATACGATTGGCGTCCTTGTGCTATGAAATGTTATGACTACACATTTTGATATACTGAGAGAGAGCTTGTTGAAGTGGCACCAGTCTTCAGGTTGGTCCAACATTTCTTGGAGCTGACGGCAATCTTCGGCGTCCTTGACAAGTTTGAGATCATCGATGTTATGAGCACACAACCACTCTGCTGCTCGGAGGAACATCGGAGGTTGCAACAAAAGGTGATGAAGTGCACGAATCCAGCTTGACGCGGAGAGTTCTATTGGAAAGGTACGATTTCAGACGAGACATTTTCCGAAGAAGACTAAAACGATCGATGCAATCGAAGGCCGCTTCCAGGTCAGCATAAACGGTATCCATTTGAGCCCTGGTTTCCAAGTGATTTATACAAGTTGAGGTGAACGCCAATAAATTTGATGTAACAAAACGCCTTGGCATAAATCCGTGCTGCATTGCTGAGATGTAGTTTTTGACATGAAAGAAGATAGCAATTTTGAAGCAACAGAAAAACCTGTTATACCACGGTGGTTAGTCACGTCACGTTTGTCGCCCTTCTTATAAACAGGGAACATAAAGGAATGTCTCCATATGTTGAGAAAAAAACTCCTTGGTCCAACGAAGCGGTAAGGATACAA